TCTGATCTGAAACTTAAATCCATTTGTTTCGCTTCTGTCACGATTCTGTATATTAAGTTTTGCTTAAGCTGTATTTTTCTCAATCTTGCTACAAAATAGGAGAATTAGAGAATTAGTATAGTGTAGAATAATTAAAAGATGATAGGAAAAATTATACTAAAGATAGCAAGAAACTTTTATACTTTCTGAAGAATCACTATAAGGTCAACAGCTCTAAGAACTCAGACCAAGTTTATCCATGCCTCCTTTTGAAGCCTATCACCTTAGAGTTTCGATCTTATTGATACTTGGAATAGTGTAGTTTGTTAGATTAGTTAGTTTAGTAGGTAGTTAGATTAGTTAGAGTAGTTTGAGACCCGTATTAGCTGATTTTATCCAATCCCGGTTTAATTTGACCCTTCTCAACGTATGTATATATTATGCATTCTATTATCCTGAGAAATAATTAAGCGATAAACTTGCAAATCTTACTAAATAAGATTTGCAGTTTTTCTGTATTGTGTTATGCATTATGGTTATTGTTTAATCTATTTAGTGTTATGTATTATTATGGTTTTTTGTTTTTGTTTTTGTTTAATTTATTAGAAGTAAAAATATATAATATATATAAATTTTTTTAAAAATATTGTAATTTTTGAAATTTGATTTTTTACAAAATAATTTTAATAAATCTATCAATTTTAATAAATCTTAATCTTTTTAAAAATTTGAATATGTCACAATCTCCTATTAATATAGAAGATAATAGGTTTGAAACTGATACCTTTGAAGATAATATTTATGAAGATGATATCTATGAAGATGATACTTATAAAGATAATACTATTGTTAAATCTAATATTTCTCAAAATATGGAAATGATTCTATTGCTGAATTTAGTAGTTCTCAAGATATAGAAATTGATTTTAAAGATATAAATAATATTAAAGATATAGATAATCAACCAAGCTCTAAAAAAACCAAAAGATCACTTCCAACTGTTTATAAATACTATAGATATAATAAAAGAACAAAACAATTTAAATGCAAGCTTTGTTCGTAAGTTTTATATTACAGTATACAGTATATTTAAATATAAATTACTTTTATAAATAAAATTTATAAATATTTTTTTTAAATTTAAAAAAAAATATAAAAAACCAAATGATTATTCAACTAGTACTTTAAGAAAACATATGAGAAATATTCATCAAATTAATTTTACAGAGTTGGAAGTTCAAAAAAATCAAACCGTAAAATTTTAAATATTTAATATTAAATTGTTATATTTTATTTAATAAGTTGTTTTAATAATTAATTTTTTTTTTAAAGAATTATAAACAAGAAGAATTTATTAATAAAATAGTTAGATAAATTGTTATGAATAATCATCCTTTTACAATTGTTAAAAAATATGAATTTAAAGATATAGTAGATTATCTTAATAATGGAGCAAAAATATTTTCAGCTGATACTATTAAAAATAGAATTATATCAAAATTTGAAAGTGAACAAGAAAAAATCAAATATAAATTACAAGTATATTTTAGTTTTTAATTTTAATTTATTTTATTATTAAATAACTAATTTAATTCAATTTTTTAGAATTTATCTTGTAAAATTTCTTTAACTCTTGATATATGGACTTTTCCAGTTCAAGATTTATTTTTAGGAATTACTGCTCATTGGTTAGACAAAAATTGGAGAATGAATCAAATTACAATTGAAATTGTTAAATTAGAAGGCATATATTCAGGCGAAAATATAGCTAATATTTTATTTAAAATATTAGCAAATTATAAAATTTTAAATAAGGTTTATTTATTTTTAATAATTATTTTAATTTTTTTAATTTATTAATAAAATTTATTTATTATATTATATAGATTTTAGCAATTACAACCAACAATGCCTCTAATAATAGCACAATGTTTGAATATTTTACTAAATTATGTTTAGAAAAACAAATAATATTTGATGAAGAAAATTATAGAGTTAAATATCTTGGGCATGTTATTAATCTTGCTGTTCAGAATATTTTAAAAAAACTTAAAGCTGAAAGTCCAAACCAAGATAAAGATATATTAGAAAAAAAAAATAATATTAATTCAATGACTACAATAGAAAAAGTTAATAAATTGCTATTTATTATTAATATTTAAATAAAATTTATTAATATATTTTAATAAAAATATTATAGCTTTGCAAAATAATTACTTATGCTCAATCAATACCACAAAGAAAAAAAAAGTTTATGAACTATAATTCAAGTAAACTTGAATTAATTGTAGATATTAAAACTAGATGGAACTCTACTTATTATATGGTAAAAAGAGCACTAAACTAAAAGAGGTAAATATTTTTTTTATATTATAATATATATTATTAAATATACAATTAATATTAAATATTTTTTAGCCAATTAATATTATAACAACTATCGAAAAAGAAATAAAAAAATATGAATTAAATAAAGATGATTGGAATTTAATTGAAGAATTTAATAGAGGTATTTATACTATATACAGTAGTAAATAATAATTTAAAATTCAAATATATTTAATTATATTTAATTTATTATATTATATTTAAATTTAGTATTTTGAAGATGCAACTACTTATATTAGTGGAAGTACTTATTCAACAATTGGCTTAATAGTTCCAGCTTATAATGCTTTACTTGATATATTAGAAAAATTTGTTAAAGAAAAAAGTACAGTTTCAATTATTAAAAATACAGCTCAATTTGGTATAAATAAGCTTGAAAAATATTATTCATCGACAGAAGGATTGGCTTATATTGTTGGAACAAGTATATATATATATATATATATATATATTTTATTTTTTTTTTAATAATTTGGCAGTCATGCCTTAGCTTTATTAGGCTTTGTACAATTCCTCTAGAATATATAAAATTTTACAACTAGGTATTTCAAAAGGTAAGTGATAAACTCTAAACTTGTTAGCAGATAACGTATGAGAACTATCTCTAAATAACAAGTGCCATAACCCATATTGTTATCTAAATTACAAGTTAAGACTAACCCAGTTACCAACTTGGCACCTATGTTCGACCTGCTATAGCAAGATT